TACCATGATAGTAGTGTCATCGTGTGCCACATTGGAACTTTGAACTCTTAACCCTTGTGTAGTTTCTTTCAACAGCGAGAACTCTATTGGTTGACAGTGGCTGTCCCATTGAGAGGAATGTTTACAGCAATTTTGAAAATGACAAAGCTAGTTTGGAAACAGAAAAAGTCAAAAGGTCCACTCTCACCTATCTCTGTAGGACACATTTGCCTCCCCTCGTGGTTACCCGAAGGGCCAGAGGGAAGGTCACCACCAGAGAATGCGGTGTCATCTCAGTACTGCATTGATGGATTCTCCCGGGGCTGAAGTACTCTCACGTGGTTCCAGGCTCTCGAATATAGCAGTCTGAACCATGTGAAATTGTTATTATTGTGCGTTAAAATGAATATTGGCCTTGGGATATGGTTCAGCCTAATAAGTTGGTAAATTATCACTTCAATGTATTAATGATATATCACAACCTGACCTGAACCAATTATGCTGCAGCTCCCAAAGAGCCCCCTCTAAAGTCAGGAGTAATTTCTGCTTTGGAGAATCTGGCTCAAAAATGTACTTGACCAAACGCTATGATCCCTAGGGCCAGGAGAAAAGCACATAATGGATGTGGATTTGATAGGTAATATTTTCCTGTTAACAAACTGGCGGCAGAGCTTCAGAAAATAAATATGTATGTAAGCACAACTTGAACCTGAATTCATTTCTGTATTATATTCTCAACTCATTATCTAAAGCAACAGAAAATGTGTTTTCAGAAAAGAGTCCTTTCCTGAGGTTAATATTTATTTTCCCTTTCTGTATTATGTATACAAAGTAAGTTAATCTGTAACCATACCCAGCTTGCTGGAAAGCTGGGTTTAAATTGTAAATACCCCTTAGGGAAGCAAATAGATTGTGAATACCATATTCTTGACACTTAGCTTATGTTAAAGTCATTATATTTTTTTAATTGAAAAACCTAGTTACCTGGTTATTACATACTATAAAGTAGTTTTTCTAATACTTTGGTAGGGCCCAAGTTCAGAAAATATTTTGCTTTTCTTCCTTTTATCTTTTCTTTGTTTATCAGCAAACAACTTCCCTTGGGAAACTAAACACATTTTTTCATAGGAAAGTCAAAAAGCTGATGTGCAGTTGAGAAAACTAGAGTAACTGAAAAAGAAAAGTAAATTCTAAAGAACTAGCAAAATCCTATAAAGTACCCCCCGCCCGCCACGAAATGGGTAGAGGATAAAGTGTGTATACAAGTTTTTTACTATAGAACGGAATAGTGACCTTTTTTGTTGTTGTTAAATGGGAAAAAAAGCTACCTGTTGCATGTATTTTTTAAATTCCTATAGAACTGTAAAGTGTAACACAAGACACCAAGACGAATGACGAGTTTAACTGTACCCATCCATGACTATACCTCACTTCCAGTCAGAAAGCTTTCCAGGGTGTCAGATAGCGAACCGGGATGGCTCTCATCCTGTGCCCGAGGGTTCGGTGGCAGGTATGCCGAGGCGTACGCGCGTAAGCTGCGCAGGCACAAAAGTTACATGGCGTGATTGTTCATTTTACAGTAAGCCCTCACCCCTCTCATGTATGATAGCATTTAAGTAGGGAAAAAAATGATTTTAAAACAATTTTTAAGACACATCTCCCACCTAAAGGATTAAATAACATCTAATGAATCCATGCTGTGTCATCTCCTGGAGTTTTCGAAAATTGAATACAATCAAGGCAGCACGTGTAAAACAAAACTATTCTTGTTTTGTCAGGAATTGTCAAGATTTTGTCAGGAATTGTTTTGTTGGGGTTTTGTTTTGTTTTGTTTTGTTTTTAGCACAAATACCAGTACTGTTGGAGTCCATGGTCACCACGTTTTCTCATGAAATAGCATTTCCCTTCCATCAAGTCATTGTTTCGTGCCATTTGGGAGAGAAAAAGAAAGCAGACTATATGATTCAGCTCAGTGTATGACCAAAAGCAATATGTTTATAAGAAAATGTGTGACATAATAATTATATATCATTTAAAGCATTCTGTAGCAACTTGTTTGTTTAATGTATGTGGGTAATTTTTAGAATTATTGTTACGATTTCCAACCAAAGTACTGTATTTTATATAATTTATTGTGAGGATCTTCTCATGGAAACCATTAAGAAGACAAACTGGAGGCAAATATTACTTAATCTGTATTATTAGTTTCTTATAGACACTGTGCTAATGTGAATTTAAAATGACCGGAATTGCTTTCTGGTAGAAATTTAGTCAACTGATTTGATTACAAGGGAGTAACTGAAAATATATTTATTTATAAAGCAAATATTCCTAATGATGAAAAGATAGAGGACAGAAAACCACTTATGCAATCCCCTTCTGAAATAAAATGTTGCTTTTTGACTAGTTCACTCTAAGGTGTTTAAAAAATGTTAATTTTACATTTTAAAAATTCTGCTCAAAATAAAGTTATGGTTTAAGAAAAAATTGAGTGTTCTGTTTTTTTCATGTTCTATCAAAAGATAGCATTTGTATTTCCCACTTGGAATTTTGATATTTTATAACTTCTCCTTAATACTTGTACATTAGAAGCATACATTTAGAGTAGCTGTATGCAGAGTTACCCTGCAACGTGGAAGCTTTTTTTTTTTTTAATTTAGCTTTTAGAAAGCTGACTAGGGATATTAAAACACACATACATACAGGTCAAAACTTCTTGTTTCTGATTCCATCATGATTAATACCTATCTTGCATGTTTTTAGCTTTCACAGTGCACTCACCTGTACAATATAAACCTTCAAAAGAAACTCATAACTTCATGAATTACACACAAGACTCCATGGGAAATTCATTTCCCAAACATTCTTCGACTCCTTGACAGAATTTTGTAGGCACATGACTTACCAGTCAAACTTGTATTGATGAATCCCCACATGTGCCCCTCACCACTGGAGCGCTGCTGACAAGGCAGTAACATCAGCATTGGTCCAACCTTCTGGCATGTGTGCCCTTTCAGAAGCCGCGAAGGATTCAAACCATCCTTCCTGCTGTAAAAACTTGCTGTTAGAATTCGATCTGGTTCTAGTCATTTATAGCTGAGGCTGAATTTAAGGCAATTGTTTCCCTCTTTCTGCAGCAATTTGCGCTTCTCTTAAACTGAGATTTAAAGCTCTTGATTTTTGCGCATTTTACGTGCTGCCGAGTGGGTGGGCAAAGGTTTAAAGGCAGAGAGGACTTCCCAGGGCCTCTGAAAATCTATCAGGTCAGTAGGTAGACACTATCACAGAGTAAGATTGAGAGTGACTCAGAGTCTCCAAGAACCAAATGATTTCAGGGACTTCCAGAGAATAAAATGACCCAAGGGTACCTGTCATAGAATGGCAGAATTATTAGAACAGTACTTTTTATTTCTCCACAAGGCTGTGTAATTAATAGAGTCTTTAAGATACTGCCTTAGTTTCTCTTCAGATAAACAAGATTGCTAGGATGATATGATCCCTACTTTATTAGGTTGCACATATGAACTTGCCATTTTTATAAGTTAGAAAAAAATACTAAAGTCACTATGAGCAGTGTGATGGGGTTCAACCAACTAGAAATAAGGAAATAGAGATAAATGTTGGGCATATCAACAAAATTGAATAATAATGCTTGTGCTATCTAGTTCCATTCAAGTGTATGCTTGTAGAAAGGTGGGCCGGAACAATGAATAAAGAATAATAACTTTCAGCAGGGCTGGAAAATATGACTTCCTACCCATGTTAGACTAAGTCATCTCTGTTAGGTCACAATTAGAAAGGTGAAATTAAACATACTTATATTTGAAGGTGACTTTTCTGACTCTCCGGCTGCCCAGCTATTCTTGATTTGCATAATTTCTTACTTTACATACTTTCTCTGGATAAGCTGGTCGTTTGGCTGCCTGTTTGATCCATGTCAGTCCTCCCTTCAGAGTTAACACTGGCTTACACAACTGTTCAGTAGAGACCACGGGTTGGAGGGCTCATAGGAATGAAAGACATGTCTACTCATTATTTCCCCCAGACCGTGTCCACCTCCACCAGGCTGTATGGAGCTAGAAACCAAGGCATCATACATTCATTTCAGTAAATACTCTCTGAATGTCAATCTACTCTGTGTTAAGCATTATTCATGTAATAGGGTATACAAAAGCACATTGTTAAAAATGTGAACATTCCTAACCTCTTGGGAATGTTCACATTTTTATCAAACCGACAGACTACAAAATAAAATTTTTAGTATATTGGATGACAATAAGTGTTATGAAAAATAGACAAGGAGGGTTGGAAAAGCAAATGTAATCATATGTTGGGGGGGCATCATTCTGTTTCTCTTCCATCTTCAAATTCATGATTGCTACTTTGGATGACCCTCCTGGAAGATAATAATTTAAATTGTATTGTGAAAAGAAAAGAAAGGCAGACTGCCACGTGCAGCGCCTCATTTGGATGTGTCTGGAGTCTTGGAAGCTTGACTACCCTACGTTCTCCTACAAATGGACCTTGAGAGCTTGTTTGGAGGTTCTAGCAGGGGAGCGCAGCTACTCGTATACCCTTGACCGAAGACCGGTCCTCTCCTCTAGTTGGGAAGGTCGTCCTCTTCGACCGAGCGCGCAGCTTCGGGAGGGACGCACATGGATCGGTGAGGGAGGAAGGGGACACCCGCCTAGCCAGCCAGATCAGCCGAATCAACCCTGGCGATCAATGGGGTGACAGATGTCGCAGCCAGATCGCCCTCACATCCAAGGCACCAGAGCGCCTCAAGAACTATATAAAGCCGAAACAGAATTCTACCTTTACAGATAGGTCGAGATTTTTTAAAATCGTGCAGGATCTCGAGTAAGAATCTTAAATTAAAGTCTAAGTCTAAATAGGACCTCCAAGGTCATTTAATCCCTCAAAAAGCTAAAATTAATCTTAAAACTGGCTTAAATTTGAGTTGTTTTTATATTATCCAGAATGCCTTGCAGATGGGTGGGGCATGCTAAATATTGCTGTCACAATTGGTGAAATCTTCCCTGAGCCTCGCCCACACGTAGAGCCTTCTCGCCGCCTGCCGGTCCTTGCCTAGCTGCAGGCTCTTCGCAGTGCCCTTTGTGCGATTCCGGGCGCTGTTAGCGGATTCCAGGTCTGTGGCCCTACTGCCGCCCCCGATCGGTCTTTTCCCTTCTTTTTGTTTCTACTCCTCTCTGTTCTCTCGGCTCCGATCCTCTTATCCCACCGTCCATCCCTCACCCCCACCCTCCTTCAGTCGTTCTGCTGTCTCCCTCCCTCTTGTCCTTTGCGCCCCCCGCCTCCGTCTGGACAGACGTGAGCCCCTTGGATGCAAATTAGGGTCATTCTTGCCTCAGTGCGCGCGTTTTTTATTAAACACTCTTTGCGAAGTCTGAATACATTGATGGAAGAGGCCGGGCTCGGATCTGCCCCGGGCCGGGAGGGGTGGCCGCTGAGCGGGCCCTGGGATGAAACGAGCACCCGAGTCTAGTCTTGGGTGGCCGAGACTGTGGCCTGGGAGCATTAACAGGGCCCGGGGCTCATCTCCCAGCGAGCGCGGGAGACGTGTGGGACCCCTGGGCCGCTACCTCAGGCGTGACGATGGATACACATTTTGGAGACAATAGTAATACTTGGCCTGTCTACCTCCCGGTTTCTGTGATAGTCAAGTAGGATGATGCGTGTGAAAGTACGCCCGCTTGCAGACGTGTGGGTGGGCGTCGACTTCTCCGCGACCCTCGGCGTCTGGCCTCCGTGGGCCGAATTTGGGAAATCTAAGATTTTTCAAGGTCAAAGTGTGTAATGATCTGATTCTGCGAAATACAATGCTGCCACAAATGTCTTTACAACAAATAGCCCCAGCTTCCCAAGATCCGGAATAAAAAATCATAAATAGAAACAATGTGAAAGCCAAGGTGGTTTAAAAAAAAAAAAAGTTTTAAAATGATGGTATGTTTTTGAGTGAGGGAAAACGCAGCAAGAACAAAACAGTTTCCTGTGCCCTGATCGTGAAGTATTCCTTTAGCCCCTGAGCACTGGGTTGAGGACACGGAATTAGGAGGAGCTGCTGCGTGTGTTTTTCAGAAAGCCTGTAAGACCATCATGGCAGAGAAGAAGCCCAAGCTCCACTATCCGAACGGGAGAGGCCGGATGGAAACCGTAAGATGGGTTTTAGCAGCCGCTGGAGTTGAGGTACCTTATATGCTGTTTATTCACAGATTTGTCGTACAACTGTGAGACTTTCGAGGAAAACCTAAATGGAGGAGCCCGGAGCTAGTCCTCTCCCACTAATATTAGACGTGCTTCATGGAGCCAGGATTCCTTCCTTATCATGGTTTCCTTTCTTTTTTCTTTTTCAATAAATGGTATGTAGTGGATGGAATTCTATTTTGCATTGGACTTTTACTTAATCATTGGCTTCTGATCTACCACCAAGAAATATTTATTAATAAGGAGAAAAGAAACGAGCCTGAAATTTGCCAGTTACTCCCAGACTTTTCTTAATTATACAATGTTTATTTCTTGTCTGTATATCTGTATGTGTTGACCCACAGTGTTTTTGTTCTGTTTTAGCTTCTTACAGAAATTATCTGATAGGAACAAAGGTAGAGAGGACATGGCCATGAATTCCAATACCTTTCACTCAGCTTCAAGAATCGTTTATGTTAATAGTGATTACCCAAGAGAAAGGTGGGTGGGGGAAGGTAGAAGAGAGTAAATGGCTGGTAAGCGGTGTTGGGGGGAGACTTGACTTTGGGTGGTGAAAACAATACAATATACGGATGATATATTATAGAATTGTACACCTGAAATGTATATAATTTCATTAACCAATGTCGCCTGAATAAATTTAATAAAAATTTTTTTACAAAGAATCACTAACTTTAAGATAATCTTGTTTCATCAAAGTCCTTCCTTCCACTTATGCGGGAGGATTTTAAAGCAAAATCCAACATCGTGGTGCTTCATCAGTTTTTATGTCTAAAAGACGAGAATTTTAAAACATAACCACGATACCATTATTACACCCTACAAAATTAACAGTTCCTTATTTATCATCTAACATGCAGCCTGATTGTCTCAAACTGGTCTTTATACAGTCAGTTATTCCATCCTGGATCTAAATCAGGCCTATACATTGCATTTGGTTATATTTCCTTCAGTATTTTAAAAATCTGTTACAGTTTCTTCTGCATTTTAAAAAATAAACTCTATACTTGGGAATCATTTTAAATTTATAGAACAGCTATAAAGATAGTGCAGAGTGTTCCCGTGTAACCACCACTCGGGCTCCCCTAATGACAACATTTTACAGAACCATGCCACAACTAAGAAATTAACCTCGGTGCATGACTAAACCACAGACTACTCAAATTTAATTAGTTTTTCCACCAACGTCTTTTACTGTTCCGGGATCCAGTTATGTTTAGTCATATGTTTTCTAAGTCTCCCTCAATCTGTGACAGCTTCTCAGTCTTTCCTTTATGGCGTAACCTTGACAGTTTTGAAAAGAATTGGTCTTGCTTTTTGTTTTTGTTTTTGTTTTTGTTTTTTGTAGAATCCTCCATTTTGGGTTTGTCTGATGCTTTTCTCATGATTAGACTGAGGTTTGGGGTTAAGGGAAAAATAGCACAGGGGCGAAGTGCCCTTTTCATTGCATCATATTAGGGTTTACATAATATTAACATGGATTATCACTGGAGCTGTTAATCTTGGTCACTTGGCTAAGGTGGTGTCTGCCACGTTTCTTATGAAGTGGCCATTTTCCCCTCTTTCTTTTAGATGCAAATCCTGTTTAGCCCGCACTCTAAAAGATGGGAATTAAGCCCCACCTCCTGGAGTTGCGAGGTGGATATTTGCATTTAGAATTCTTATGTAAGAGAGATGTCTTTTTCCTCTCCCTTTATTTATTTATTCAGTCATTCATATATTTTAGTATTGACTTATGTGTATTTATTTTTTACTTTGGGTTATAATCCAGTAATATTTTATTTTGTTTCTCAATTTGTTCCAGCTTTGGCCATTGGGACTCTTTCAGATTCATTCTTTGTATTCTTTCCACATAACCCCATCCCCTTTTTTCCTTCTTTCTCCCCTTTCTTCAGCTTCTTACTTTGTACCACAACAAGGTGCTCCAGGCTCTGCTTATATTTTCCTTGCCCTGGCCCTAGAATCAGGAATTTCTCCAAACCCTCGCCCCTTTTATAAGAAAATGGTATTAACAGCCAAGATCTGGATGCTAAGTGTCTTCATTTGTTTTAGTGTGGAAGAAACTGCCCTGTAGAATTTTCCCCACTCTGCATTTGGCTGATTTACTAACATTTTAACATGTTCCTTTATTCTCTATATTTTCTGCAATGACTGGCTGGATCCAGAGGTGTGGTTAAATCCAGGCGCCTTTTTTTTTCTTTCTATATTTACTTTTTTTTTTTCCTGCCAGACTCTAACAGAGAGAACTGTGAACATATTTTTATCATACGCCATCAGGGGTGCACAATATCTGACTGACTCCTTTTCAGCCATGCAGAGCTTAACCAGTATGTTCTGGTGACATCAGCCTGATTCACACATTATAAAGTTCCCCCTCTACCCTTTCAAACAGTGGTTTTAGCAGCTATGGATCATCAGCAGTGCTAGGGATTACAAAATGGCGATTTTTCTATTTCTTTCATTTCACCCGAATTTATTAACTGTGATTCTTTTATAAAGAGTATTTTTTCATTTGTTAAGTACTTAATTACCTTGAAGTGCAGATCATATAGGAACGGCAAGATAAATGCTTGATTCGGTCTCTTTATCAGTTTTCAGAATAATGAGTTGTTACCCTGGCAACCTCCAAAGAGGGCAAACAAAGGTTGTTGAGTTTAGGGTTTTGTGGCTTATTCGTGTGGTTTGGGTTTTGGTTTCTTTGCATACCATTATAACGCCCCACACAGTGTTTTACAATGGTTTTTAAACTAGTTGATATCATTTTTATATATAAATGCTGACTTATGACTTCTCTTGAGAAACTGGAAGGTCTAATGAGCCTGGGCCCTCGTTCCCGCAGGGCAGCATGGCTGACTCTGAGTGAGGACTGCCCCCTATGCAGCTGGGCCTTCCTTGCTCCGCACAGTTCCCTTCATTCCCTGTCATCTCAGGACATAGTTTGTAATCGTGTTAAGAGGCAGAGTGAAAAAGTTCTTGGTGCCTTGATCTCAACCTGGTCCGCTTATTTGTGTCATCTGTCTAACCTTATATGCTTCTGAATTTACAGTTCCGTTTTATTTAATAGGGTTTGCAATAGATGTAGAGCTGTGTGTAATATAATTCTTCCTCACATTCTCTCTCTTCCCAATCTTCATTCTACCCTGCCCCTCCTATTCTCCTATGAGTCAAGATTCTTGGTTTCATTAATGGATACCCAGCCCTAAGTAAGTTAAACAAAAAAGAACATAGGCCATGTGACCTGCCTATCCTACACCAATCGGAGTGGGTGGGTAGGTGGGGCCGAATAATTAGCCCAGCCTGGGTCTTGGGCTCACCTCTCTGAGCAGGGTAGACAGAGTGTGGTTAGCCTCCCTCACTGGGGCTGAACACAGTGGTTTACAGGAACAATTCCCGAAAGGTGGGTATGGGGGGGTGGGAACGGCTTCCTCACCATGTCTTTACCAAAGGGTATTTTTAGCTGAGTTTGTGCTCATGTAGATCTGAAACAATCAGGAGGGACAGGCTGGCAGCTGCTGGATGAGGCTGTGATTCCTAGCGTCACAGTGTCAGGTTGAGCCTGCGGGGAAAGCACACGCATCTGAGTGACTAGGTAACGACCTGCTGAAGGGCCGCAAGTCCAGATTCAGGGAGTCAGCATCCTCCATCCCAGTCACTTAGTTTGAGTCCTTAGACATAGCTCTGTGCTTTATATTGCCTCTCTACTGCGGGGGATTCTATTTGCCCAAAGACCCTCTCGACCCAGAAATCCAGTCAGATCCCATTGTTAAGAGGGAAACCAACAGCATGCAAAAGAGAAGACTTAATGGCCTTAAGCTCCTAATTCAGGACTTACAGGTGATTCATTTAAAGAACTGCAAGAGTGTTTGAAAAAGTGAGTGCTGTGGTGTGGAAGAGGGCAGTTCTCCGAAGTCAGGGAGCAGAGATACACTGATGGTGCAGACCAAAGCCCAGCCTCAGGGAGCAACTGCACTCCCGTCGCCTCCAAGCTCTGCCAGGTGTTTCCCTTCCCTCTCTGTTCCACCCTCTCATCTCCCCTTCCAGCTCCAGTTTCAGCTTATTGACCAATAGTTTTACAAAGCTTGATGAGATTGAGATGGAGAGAGAATGAGAAATCATTCCTCTATCAAGAGCAGAGAGAACTCTAGAGAGATGGTTCCTCTAGTGAGAGCATACATTTTGCATGTCCCAGAAGTCAAAAATCAGGATCAGAACCATTGGGAAGAACTCATTCCAAAAAAGGAAATTCTGGTCTGTTTCAGCTATGAAGGTGGGCCTGGGGTCGGACACCCACCTCCCCACTTTTCCATGTGCTTTAAATTGTCATGGTCATAAAATTTTGAGATCAGTAATATGGAGGGAACACCACCGGCACCGCGTCTGACCAGCTGGGCATTTGGACAAATGCCTAAGCATTGCTGGCCTGAGGCACAGGACAGAGTGTCTATAGAGGCCCTGAGACCCCTCTCCTCATGCCACAAGGACCCTGGCCAGTAGCAGAAGCCATATCTGCACCCCATATCCCAGCTCTCCCCCTGGGTCACCTGGTTGAGACCGAGGCGGGGCACTGCGGAGTCTATGCCTGTCAGCTCTGCCCGTCCCTGGGATGACTTAGGTAGGAGCACACACACCCGGAACCACGGGGCAAGGCTGCTCCGTGGGGGGAGGCCTCTTCTTCCTGAAGAAGGCATGGAGTTGTGTTAGAACATTTTATAATGTCAGGAGAAAAAGAACTTGTTTTTACTTTATTTCTCCCCCCCAACCACCACCCAACTTTTTAATTTGAAAACTTTCAAACCTAGAGAAATATTGTAATGGTACAATGGATACCTTTCAACTAAGTTTAATTGTTAATAATTTGCTACATTTGCTTTCTTCTGTTCTCTCTGCTTTTATTTCCTTCAATCCTTTGAAAGTAAGTTGCAGACGTCAGCACATCTCTTCCTCCTAAGAATAAACTGTCCTAATGACCACAGTATCATTGTCACAACTAAGACAATACTAAGTTTATAATATCTAATATACAACCCCTACATCCCCCAAGTGTCTACATGAGTGATGTATATTTGTGTAGCAGTTATGGCTGCCTCCTGAACCGCCACCCCAATCCAGCATCTAATCAGGATTCAGGCATTTGGTTGTCTCTTTTTCTCAAACGGTTCCTTCCCCCTCTACCCCCATGCCCTTGATGCTTTGAAAGGGTCCAGGCCACTTTGTTGCAGAATTCCCACATTCTGGATTTTCCATGATTTGTACCTCACTGTTAGATCCAGGTTAAGTGTTTTTGGCAAGATCTTTACAGTGTCACTGTGTCCTCTCATTGCGTCATAGCAGCAAGCGCATGACATCTCAGAGTGTCCCCCAATGGGCAGCCAAATTTGACCACTTGGTTAGACAGATGGTGAGACCTCTAGGTCCCTCTGCTATAAAGATACATTTTTCCTTTGCCATAATTAAGTAACTCCTGGGTAATAACATTGAGACTGTGTGACTAGCCTGTGTCTCATGACCCAATGATTTCAGCATCCTTTATAATCCTTATTAGAATCAGTTATTACATTGTAGGTTTCAAATTGGGGGTTTTCTAATTTTATCATTAATTAGCAATAATTCTAAATTCGCACAAATTCTGCTGTCAAAAAAAAAAAAGCTTTCTCCTGCCTCCTCCCCTTTTTAATATCATCATTTCTGGACACAGTGACACAGTGATGTTGTTGTGGTTGTTGTCATTGTTGTTATGTCTTATAATCCATAATTGACATCACTGTTTCTGACATCAAAAAGATGCTTGAATCATCCCAGATTTGGCTAGGGAATTATCCTCAGGTAGGGTCCTAAGTTTGCCTTTGATGCATCTCATTGGTCTTTGAGTGTCCTTGCTTCCCGATGTGACAGAATCAACCTTCTTTCCTGGGAGCCCTTGTAGTGGGCAGTGAGCTTTAGAAACCAGGATGTGGGTGCTAACTGCTCCTCTTGTATTTTGCAGCAATTTAATTTGAAATTTGCAGTCCTGAACCTGTAATAACTTGTACCTTTTCTTTGGGGGGGTATCTTTTTTAAATTCAGTTTGATGAAGAATTTTTAGAAACAAAAGAACAATTGCAGAAGTTGCAAGACGGTGAGTATGGACGTGTGACGACTTTCAGTAATACTGATACTCTTTTCTAAAGAACTGATATTTATGTGGAATGGCAAAGATGCTACCAACATTAAACATTCATAACAGTATCCTAAAGCCAGACCAGCAAGAGGGAATAACAGCTGAAATTGCCAGGAAATCACTTCTTATTCAGTACTTCTATAAGGACGAGCTACAGGGAGAGAGCACTTCCTTCTGCCATCCAAGAAAACAGCCCTTCTCCCCCTGACCTCCCTCATCCAACCTCCTTCTCTCCCTTCCTTCCTCTCTCTCATCCCTTCCCTCCTCATTTTCCTTGCCTCGCCTCTTTCGCCTCCTCCAAATTATCTGAGGCACCGGGGCCCACTAGAGTATGCAGGTAAAATTCTCCATTTACACTGGGCTGCATTTCCAAAGTAACTACTAAACAAATGAAATTAATAAAAGGCCCCCTTTAAATCCTAGTCAACCCTACCCTCTCCACACCCAGGCTCCGTTCAGAGGGAAGCAACCCGCAGCCTGTAGAGTGCATGTGGCCCAACACAAAATCATCAATTTATTTAAACCTTTCTCTTGCTCATCAGTTTTTCTTAGTGTTTGTGCATTTAATGTGGCCCAAGACAATTCTTCTTCCAGAGTAGCCCAGAGATGCCAAAAGGTTGGGCACCTCTGCTAGGACATACCTAGCAGCCTGTAAGCAGCCTGCCCCGCAACCTTCAGCCCGGTCCCCAAGCCCAGGCCGAGACTCCCCGGGGAGGGACCAGCTGTGCAGGGCTGTAATGCCACCTGTCGTGCAGGACACTGCCTGACATCATGAGGCATATGCTGAGTACTCATTTCCCCTCGACCTTCACATGCCCTCTCCCTTTGAGCTCCTCCAGGGCTAAACTACCCTGTACTTGCAGCTCTCCCTGGGATTTGGAAGTGTTTGATACCAGTTTGTTGAAGAAAGTAATAGGTTACTTTTTGATCAGTGACAGCAGACATGGTAGTAAGTGCTCAATGGCTGTGAAAGAGAAACACCAGCGAGAGCCCGTAAGTAGCAGTTGGTGATTTCGGCTTCATTATCTCGTTGCCTAAGGCAGCGCAGGCAGTGGAACATCGTACAGTGATGTAGTGTTCTGTTCTGCGCTGTCCGATGTCGGAACCACTAGCCATCTGTGCCTTCTGAGCACTTGAAATGTGTCTAGTGTTACTAAGGAACTCCATTCTAAATTTTTCAAATTTTAATTAATTTAAATTTAGGCTTAACTAGACACGTGCAGCTACTAGCTACTCTCTTGGCCAGCGCAGCTCTGAAGAAATGTCTTCATTTCATATCCATACTCCTATCACTGTGAGTGGGTACTTTCCCAGGGGTGAGAATGGAAGGGGAAAGAAAGCTAGTTTTCATGCTGCTTTGACGGCTAAATCTGCTCCCCCGAATGCAGTTGAGGTTATCTATCTGTCATCGGGGAGTTTTACACCATTTCCTAAGGCTGTGGCCCCCACTATCCCGTTTCATTCCCTAGAGCACTTTTTAGGGGTTGGGGGACAAGGGAGAGATCACCTCTAACCCTGGGCTTCCATTCTCAGGTAACCACCTGCTGTTCCAGCAAGTGCCGATGGTTGAAATTGACGGGATGAAGTTGGTGCAGACCCGCAGCATTCTCCACTACATAGCGGACAAGCACAATCTCTTTGGCAAGGACCTCAAGGAGAGAACCCTGTACTGCGGCCCCCTCCTGAGTGTTGTCACTGTCAGCTTACTGATGCCTTAGCTCATTTGCAGTCTTCTACAGCACACACCCCGTCTGCTTTATGTCTTCTTGTATCATTAGTGTAAACACGGAATGAAAACCTAGAAAGATCATCAAGGCCAGAAGCAAAGTCAGTACAGAGTATCGGAGTAAAATGCTAGAAAAGAATTGAATTCAGATAGTGGATCCCGTATCTGGAGTGTGATAGTTACAGTTTTCAAAATCTGCAAATGCTTTCGTAATACTTTTTACCTTTCATATAAATTTATGACCATTGGGTATTGGGAATAGGAAGCTGCTGTGACATTCGAGGCCTGGGGTACTGTGCCTTGAATTATAATTTGAAAGCCTGGTCCTTGTACCTTCTAGATGCATGACCCTCGGCATTGTGTTAAGCCCTGGAGTCCTGATGGGCTTCCTGCGCAGTGGGGATTATAGTAGCACATTCCCCAGAATGTCATAGGATTCAATGAAACACCAGACATAGAGTGTTTACCACCATGCCTGACACATACCAAGCATTCCATAAATGATACCCACCCTTTCTATAAATGTGGAGTTCCACCCACACTGCGCTCGTGTGCTGGTGTGGGAGTGGAGGAGCAGGGGCTGAGAGAGAAGGCCTCAGGACTACTGTGTTTTCTGATTTGTGACAGGTTTTTCTGAAGGAATTTTCCAAATGATAACTATAGGGGTGTTTGGTATCTTTCCTCTTAAGAGACAGGTGTAGATGAATGCTTCGTGGTACTTAAGTTGCCAGACCCTAAGAGAAAAAGCACTCCGAATTCTTAGTTGTGGAAGCCAATGAGTTCTAGAAAGGGGAAACTAAGAAAAGTGCTTTTTGGTTTTCAGGATTGACATGTATGTGGAGGGGACGCTGGATCTGCTGGAACTGATTATTATGCACCCTTTCCTAAAACCGGATGATCAACAAAAGGAAGTGGTTAGCATGGCCCAGAAGGCCATCCTTCGATACTTTCCTGTGTTTGAAAAGGTAGGAAGCAGAGAAGCCTATGAACAAGCAGAACCAATACCACAGGGAGCTGCCACCAATGCCCCTTTCTGCTCAGGACAGTGTAAGGCTGAGCTCCTTTGGACTAACCCGCTGGACACCTGAGACCTGACTTTAGCCATCAGCGCAAAGCCAGGGTGTCTTGGAGCCTCTCAGACTCCACTAGGAGCACATTATTCTGACGTCTGGGAAAATATGGCTCACCACATGTATGCATTATCATTCCTTACATTCACCTGGTACCCACCTTGCACAAGGTACAGGAAAGCAGAAACTCCCTCATTCATTCATTCATTCATTCATTCATTCATTCCACAAACATTTGCAGAACAATGTTATTGTATCAGACACTCTACCTGACAGTTTGATATGAAGAGAAGAACCATTGTTCTTTATTTCTACCTGACAGTTTGATATGAAGAGAAGAACCATTGTTCTTTATTGCTCTTTTTTCTGTTTTGTTATTTACCTTGTCTTATTACTCTGCTTTTCTGAACTTCAAACTCCTCTTTTCCTCAACTGAGAGGAATTATTTTAAATGTTTCAATTAAAAAACGAAAGAAGAAAATGTAAAAATAGGGGATTGGCAGACTTCCTCTGGCCATCTTCATGCAATTAGATTTAAGAAGAAGAGGTATTTCCTAGGTTTTTCTGTCACTCGATTTCATGTTCTCTTGCCCACAGGCATCTTGTGAATGTAAAATATGAAAATGCAGACATGTGGTGTGACAAGGGAGAAACAGGTGCCTTGGGGAAAAGGCCATTGCTGGTTCCTATGTCCCAGTGGCCCAGATGATGTCAGGGCTCCTCCCAACATGTGAACTAAAAATGGTTACTCCTCTTTTATACATAAGGGAACAGAATGACAGAGAGATTGAGTGATGAGCCCATGGAGGTGGGCTGGGAATGGAACTCAGCCCTTGGACTACAAATTCTGGATTCGTTCTACTCCCTAACTTTGGCTCCAGTGGCTGTGACAGGGTCCCTGTTTGTCATACACATCACCCACACATGTGTGCCCATGTCCGCACACTTAAGAACATCTGAGAGTTTACTGCCAAAGGGATCTCCCCTCTTCCACCACGACTCCTATGACCCTCTGCAGCTATACGGTACTCAAAATAGGGATAATGCCCTTAACTCTCTCTGGTTTAGAAGATGTGAAAAGAAGCCTACTTTTTTATAGCCAGGTCCAGTTAATGACTAAGTGTTGATGTTTGCAGAAACAACTGGCCAACGAGATTGGACTCCTTGGCGAGGACCTATCATTTATTTCTTACATGACTTCCTGAATTCATCAGGGCTAGTTCATTTCTGTAAATGTATCCTCAGTATTTATGGAATAGATATATCCTTTGAAAGTACTGGATGCTAAACCCGGAATTAATGTCTTTTGCCTTTACAGTGTTTCATTCTGATATAAAGCAGATATTTAATGGTGCTTTCATATCTGTACTTTTCATACATGCACACTCTTTGGGATAGGGAGCTTCCTTTTTAATTGATGTCATTAATAAAGAGATGAAAGGATAAGTCTGTAGTGCCGCCACCCCTCGGGTACTGCACTGACTCAGTAGTTTCATCAGTTTCTCTGTTGTATTGTAACTGATGTAAACCACTTATACCTGCAGGTTCTAAGGGAGCACGGACAGAGGTTCCTCGTTGGTAATCAGCTGAGCCTTGCAGATGTGGTTCTCCTCCAGACCATTCTAGCTCTCGAGGAGAAAATTCCCAATATCCTGTCTTCATTTCCACACCTGCAGGTAAACAAAACCACATATTAGAAGCCTGGCCCAGAACTTTAGCCCTTCGATGCCTGTTGATGAGTTGGCTGCTTGCATGTATGTATAAATTTTTAAGATTCTAGCTGGTAAAATGAAATTAAGGTACAGACTTGACATTTTTTTTTTTTTTTTTTTTTTTTGCTCTCCAAATCTTTATAGCTGAAAGATCATTTACATGAGAAAGAAGTTTTATTTTGGTTTTGTTCCATGACTACACTCATACACAGCTTAGCCAATAGGCACTTGCGATAGACGTACTCACATGGGAGGGATGCATCTGTACCTGCTGACTATACCAACCAGGAGGACGTGAGCTTCAACAACAGAAAAGGTCTCATCATCAGGGCATGGCTCCCGTTGTCAGAAATAACATGGTCTCAACTCAGAAATGTCCAAACCTGAGTTCTGAGAGCTAGTAAGAGGCACCTTAAACACCATCCTAAGGAATTCCCACCATTCCCCTTCCCAGAAATTCCAAGGAAAGGCCCGTGTGTGGCTCAGCTGATTCCTCACTATTATTCTGGCAGGATCAATCATAAAATTTTCAAGTAGAAAAGGGCTTTAAAAAACTAATCTCATCCAATGCCTTCAACATGAGGAAATAGAGACTCAGGGTAAAGAAGCTGGCAGTCGGATGGCCCAGCTAGTGGGTCCCTGAGTTTGGCCTTTTGTTTGCAAGTGCAGTGGGCTTTCCTTTGTACCAGAGGATGGCAAAATGCAACCCATCCTTACCCCAGCCAGGCCACGTCCAGCCTGCTGCCTAGTTTTGTATAGCTCTTGAGCTAAGAATGGCTTTTACATTTTTAAACAGTTGGGGAAAAAATGTCTAAAGAAAATAACATTTTATGATATCTGAAATTACATGAAGTTCCAATTTCAGTGTCCATAAGCATGAATACTTTATTGGCACAAAGCTGCACTCATTCATTTATGCTTTGTCTGTGGCCCCTTCTGTGCAGCCACGGCAGAGTTGAGCAGTTCTATCAGAGATAACACCTGGCCTGCGAAGCCTAGAATATTGACTAATCGGTCCTTTATAGAATGGTGGTCAGCCCCTGATATAGACCACATTGATATATCTTTGACAAACTTATCAAAGACCCAGAGACACACACACACACACTTAATCTCCAAAGAGTCACACATGTCCTTTTTTCTTTTTTAAAAATAATTTTTCCAAGTCCCGTAAACATCATTTTGATATACTTTGAGAGCAACACCATCAGTTAAATGCATACACACAATGAGAATAAAAATTTTCAACAAGGCAAATAGCCATTATGAAGAAGATACAGTGATGAACATTGTTTATTTGACTTTCATACCAGTAGGTTCTTGAAATGGCCCAGGGACCTACTGGTATTTTTCTTCGATGACGCTAACAACCTGTTTTTAAACCCCAGGCACATTTGCTTAAATACAGTTTTAATCTCTGATCAGATCAAGCATCAATACTAAAGGACTTCAGAATCTAACACCAGACCTTAGGTTAATTAAAGGGTCATCCCTACATTAATTAAAGGGTTAAAAATTATAAAGAGTCACAAAATTTTATTATACATGATAAGCACAAACCCCATGTAAATTTTGAAATGATAAATCTTGTGGAACAAGCTTCTAAATATTGGTATAATTTTCAAAACTAGATAATACAAATAGTTCAAATAAGTAATAAAAAGAAAATTGTCATTTATATAGCAGTAATTGACATGATTAGAGTTTTGTTAATATTACATGTGTATTTATGTGTTTGTGTGCATGCTTAAGTCTATGCTTTGTTTATAATCAACAGTTAACAAATAGTAGCTTTTTAAATAAATGACCTCATCACTTTGAAAGATTTTTATTAGAATAATTACATATAATGGATATACACTTCTTCATATAATTCAAAATTTTTCCTGGATCAGATAGACTTTTTTCTCAGTTACTGAGAATTGGTAAGATTTAACTCTATTAAAAAAATATGATTTTTTTTTCTTTCATTCTAGTTTACATAAATATCTGGTATGTGAGCTGTAGGCTACAAAACATGCAGCTGGCCATCTCCCACACATAACCAAAAATAAGATTAATTGGCTACTAGAAGTGAAAAAGTCCAGGAAAGCCAAATCTTAAAATCTAAATTGTACCATCTGATGACTTTTTAAAGTACTTTTATATAAATGACCCATGCATTTTCTGTGAGTAGATCAATATATTTAAGGTACTTCCCGAGTCTTTTATTCCTTTTCTTTCCTCTTTAAGCATGAATCATAATCCTATTCTAAGTATCTTTTTAATTTTTCCTGTCTCTGAAAAAAATTCACATCTTGCTGTGAACCATGAGATTTGCATAAAGCCTGGCCTAGATACTAGCTATTGTTAGCAGAGATTGTAAATAACCATGCCAAGAGGTCAGACCCTGAACAGATGCTGGATTATGGTTCTGGTTGGATCACTGCAACAAATATTTATTAAGCAAATTTTGATAGAGGGACCATTTGGAACATTGTGGTTAACCTTGAACTTCCATGTTTTCCTGTTTCAGGAGTACACAGTGAAAATGAGTAATATCCCTACAATTAGAAAATTTCTTGAACCTGGCAGCAAGAAGAAGCCTCCTCCCGATGAGATCTACGTGAGAACTGTCTACAACATCTTCATGCCATAAAACAACACAGACGTCTGTGAGTGAGAACTCGCCCCTAGAGATTGCCATGTCCGCAATAGTATCTTAATTGATGCCAGGCTGCGTGATCCCAGCTCTGTCGTGGTGCTCTGTATAGTTGTTCCTAAGTTGGGTCTTTCGTGTCAAGGAGGTCTCTTCTAAAAATATTGACTTTTTTTTTTTTTTTTTGTCCAGTGGATACCGTTATGGACATTTTTCTGAAAACCTTTTTGGAGAGGCTGGCGAATAAGTTAGATCTGATCTGAACTCGTTTCCTGACAATAGGTGTGGGCAGGACCTCATGTTCTCCCCTGAGCTTCTTTTCTCCTCTCTTTTATCCCATTCTAAACCCTGTCTGGTCTCTTCCTAATTTTTAGTGTCTAATAACAACAGACTATCTAGTGAATCTCTCTCCTCGGAGCTATTATAAATCCATGGTAGTAATGAATGCAATCCATATAAGCCAAAATAAAGAATTTACAAATCATCGCCCTGTTGCTAGAATTTTTAAATTAAATTGTTTGGAATCTATAGTACAGTTACATGGTTCATAAATCAAAAAAGTATAAAAGGCTGTACAGTTGGAAATATTCTTTTCAACCCTGCCTCCAGCTACTTGGTTCTTCCCACAGGCAAACATAGTTATCATTTGTGTATCCTTCCAATTATATTTGATATACACATAAGAAAATATAAATGTATATTACTTTTATCTTATCACCCAAATGTTCATTTGTAGACTTGAAATTTTTGCATTTCAGACAAAAAAAGATGGTTTATTCATACTGCTTTAAACATGTGTTGATTTATGGCTCAAATATTAATTGAGCACCTATTATGTGCCAAGCACATAATAAGGGTCCGACAGACAGAACCCTAGAACAGAGCCCCTGCTCCAGAGAAATTGACTGCACAGTAGGGGAGATGGATGTGTAAACAGCAGAAGTAATTTTGGAAAAGGAAGAAATGCTGCTTTTTCAAGTATCAAATACTCAGAAATTTAAAAATTAAGGAAAGGCAAGTTTTTGATGAGGGCTCGTAGAGGGGACACATTCGTCTTTTACTGCAGGAGGGGTTTTTGCTCAGATTTAAGAAAAAAAAAAAAAACAGTCACGAGGTGATCATTAATGCTTGTCACAATCATTGCATGGGCCTAGATGTTTTATTAGAAGAAAATCAAGTGCAGACATCCGGGTAGTTGCCCTCACGCTTTCACAATGAGAGCGCTCTGTCATCACTGACATTTAGCACTGTTGGGGGAACAGGGGCTTGGTGACACGAGCAGCGCTGGGCCAGGGCCCGGGAGCGGTGGCCGCCCAGACTGCTGCTGCTGCTGCTGCTGCTGCTGCTGAGGGAGAGGCCCAGGCTCCGGCCAGAGAGCGAGAGCCAAGGAAAAGAGGAAAACGGGGGAATGTGTAGTGAAAAGGCTCACCCTTCCCCTAAGCTGGACCGGAGACAAGTCTGACCTTTGTCTCTGGGAGGTGATGTCTAAGCCTTTGGAATGTCATGCCTGATAGGAGTGTCTTTGTTCACCTGGGGACCTTGGACCAGTCAGAGGGTGACGAGGTGATCTGAGCCATACCAGTGTCGGGTGGGGGCTTTGGGTCATGCGGTGTCAGCTCCACTCTGGAGGGGCCGGAGACGGACCACCCACGTGGGCAGTCAGGTAGGCCCATGTGATGGAGCCTCCAAATAAAAACTCTGGACTCAAAGCTTGGGTGGGCTTCTCTGGTTGACAAGACTCCATTGTCACACATGGTTGCCAGGAGGAGTTAATGCCGTCCTCGACTCCCCAGAGATGACTTCTGGAAGCTCCGTGCTTGGAACGCTCCTGGGTTCTGCCCTGTGCACCTCTTCCCCTGGCTGATCCCCATCTGTATCTTCTCCCTGTAATAAAGCAGAGCCGTGAGTATACCAGCTTTCACCGAGTCCCGTGAGTTCTTCTAGAGCATTGTTGGACCTGAGGGTGTTTTGGGGGACATCCCCTTGAACTTGCAGTTGGTGTCAGAGTGAAGGTGGTGTTTAGGCCTGCTCCCTCTCAACTCCTTATGGAAGAGAAACATTTTACACTTGTTTGAAGATTAATTTACACATGGGAACCAGATATGGACTTGATAACACCCAGGAGTGTGTATTATTGAGTTTTGGGGGGTGGCAGCAAATTTGAGCTTTTTTATCCTACCATCTCAATGTGGTTTTACTATTCAGTGCCATTTCCTGACAGTAGTGATCGAGAGTCTGCTATATAGGCCCTAAGGTCATTTTGTAAACATTGCTCTTTGGGTTTTAATTCTCTTGGATGCCGGGGGCACTCAGTGCTGGCTCTTTGAGGAAACAACCGAGGAGGAAGTTTGGCTTCTGCGCTGAATTAGAGGACTAGAGAAAATGACCACAAGAGGGCAAGCTTTTTCAAATAAAGACAGATTCTCATATCTTTCCTGCTCATGGTAACATGACCTTAAATTGTGCAATTCAATCCTCATATTGGAAACAAGTTCCTGTCCTGCCTCAGGAAGCATTACCTGAGTTTGGTGGACACTCCTGTCCACTAGTCTCAAACTTTTCCCCTCTCTGCCATTTTCATGAGCCACCGGACTCTGGTGCTAGAGTAGGAAGTCAAGCACTGGGCCATTTACCGTCAGAAATACCAGGGCTAGACCCAAACATGTGAGACGGGGAGCTCGAGCAGAGGGGTGACACGAGGCACAATGACTAGAATCCACAGCAGGTGAACCAACGGGGGTCAAGGGCAGAGCCACGTATAAATGGGGTAGTTACAGGCGCTCCAGAGTCTGAGACAGAAGGGGAAAAGGTCAACGGTGCGGCTCTGGTGTCTGTGACGGAGGAGGAGGAGGTGCAGCGCCTACTGAGCGCGGGCCCCAGCCTAAGCCCCACAGAGAGGCTTTGGCAGACTGGGTGCTGCAGGGAACACCTGACCCTCCTGCTGCCTGGCTGAGGTGGTTTGGAGAGGCCAGCCTCCTGGGGACCCAACAGAGCAGAAACTGAATTCCACTGGACAGGTCTGCATCAAACAACAACCAGCATGGGCCCTTGTATTTGCTGGCGTTCCCTCTTCATCGAATGTGCCTTTTACTCCTTTAAGCAAATTGCCCAGATAGCATGGCAGAGTTTCTTCTTGTTCAGTCTGCCTGAACGTCCCCACCTAAGGGAGTGCCTCTGACCAGGGGTTGGGTAGCACTTCTCCCACACTGGCCTATCTTTCTTAGCATCCTGTTTTGTTTTCTTCAGAGCACTTGACACCCTCTGCCAATTTTATCTATTTAATCAAACCCTATCTTCATATTGAAAGTGGATTTCTTGGAGAAAATGTCATTGGGTCTTGTTTTAGTCCACGCAGTCTCTGTCTTTTAATTGGTGTATTTATGACCACATTTAAAACCATTATTGATGTAGTTGAATTAATACCTACCATGTTTTTTAATTGTTTTTTCTTTGTTTCCCTTGTTCTTTGTTTCTTTTTTCTTTTGTCTTCCCCTTTTTTTCTGCTTTCTTTGCTTTTAATTCAACATTTTATAAGATTCCATTTTTCTCTTAGCATGTCAATTCTTGCTCATTTTTTAAAGAAAGTTTTATTTGTTGCCCTAGACTTTGCAATATTTTTTTATAGCTACACTAAGACTGCTTTTGCCCTGGTTAGGCGGCTCAATTGCTTCGAGTATCATTCCATTCACCAAAAGTTTATTGGTTCGATCCCTGCACAGGGCACATACCAACGTTGTAGGTTCTGAGGCAGGAGGTAGAATAGGAAACCCTGAGATACTGTAGCTGTCATCAGTCAGCATCGTGATTTTCGAGAATTGCCTGTCACACCTGATAATGATTAACACTGTGATTTCCTCCCTCAAGTGGACAATCAGGGAGGATTGTGGGAGGTTGCATGTGTAGAAGCTAAAGTAAAAATGCTATAAAGCCTGTATCCGTTCAACAGAAGACGTTCCCTGGCCAGAAATGGCCCACTCTCGTATCTTGGGATGATGAAGCCAAGAGAACCAAGACTGGAGCTACTATCCCTTTGGTTTCTGGAAGAAATGGGGATTTTGTGAGTCGGGATGATTTTGACTTAGGAATTAAATATTTTAGAGTAACTTTCATTATGACTGCATTTCTGCACGTAATTCTTAATTAGTAAAATGCAATTTTTGACACTTTCTGTGTGATTAGAGTCCCTATCCCTTTTTCCTTTTATCTCCTGATGATTAGGCCTAGAGCTGGGAATAGGGAAGGGATTAGCTCCTAGGAGCAAAGAAAGAATTAATTTGGAACTGTTGAGATGATCCCTAACATACTGTCTTTCTGCCACGTGGTTATTCACCTTGATTTACTATGTTAAAACTGTAAATACAACAGATTGTGGCGTTCTGCTTTAACTGGATGGGTTTTTCCTGTCTTTTTGTTTGACTACTTCAGCTGCAGGAAGGTACGGGGTCATTTCAGAACTTGGTCTCTAATTAAGTGAATCCTGATTGTCAGGTTTTCCACTTATTTCACTGGCTATATTGATGGTCAGTATTGGCTTTAGTGGGTGTTCCTGATTTAGGCTTTCTCCTATTTCTCAGAATATTTATCAGTCATGATGCCAGAAACTTTCTCTCGCTTGCTATGCTTATCTTTGTTTATGTGGTCCATTCAGTTCCTTGTTCATGACCAGCAAGAGCCTGGACCCCCACTCTACCTGCAGCAGTTCCATCCCCAGTCGGGGCATGTGCAGGGGGCAACCGATCGATGTTTCTCTCTCACATCAAAGTTTCTCACATCAATGTTTCTCTCCCACATCAAGTTTCCTCTCTCTCTCTCTCCCCCTCTCTCTCTCTCAATCTCTCTTTCCTTTCCTCTCCAAAATCAATAAGCATATCCTCAGGTGAGGATTAAAAAAAAAAAGACCATTTTCAAATAACACTATACTGCTTCATAGGTACTGTAGGTGCCAAACTCATATAACAGAGTATTCCCAATTCCTCCTGTCCCTTAGAACATTGCTATCATAGATTTCACTTATCCATAAGCTATAAGCATCTGCTATATTGTTACTGTTATTATTTGAACACACTACATTTACCTTTTTTATACACTTATACTGTCTGTCTTCCCCAACTAGATTGTAAGCACCGCAGGTGCAGGAATTGGGTCTGTCGTGCCCACCATTCTAGAGCCAGGGCCTCAAGCAGTGCCTGGCACAGAGTGGTACTCAGTAAATGTGTGTTGAATGAGCCAGGGGAGTTCTACTTTCTTCTTCCTTGGGTAAGCTGGTGTGCTATCAAATACACTAACAATGGATGTAAAGTGAAGCCCCAGGGGTGTGTACAAACTGGAATACTCACTGGCTAATCCCTTGAGTGGGCAGAGCTTTCAACTGGAAAGATAAGGGTTATAAACCCCCACTTCATTCCCCCACTGCACTGGAGCCAGGAGCCAGGAAGAGATAAGGTTAGTGATGAAGTTTTCATATACTCTTCTTGGGCTTGGCCGGGTAGTTACATTTTGTGGCCAAATATGCAGCTTATGGTCAACTTTGGTTACACTGTGGTTAATTTAATGCCTATATTTCTAAACTTCCTGTGTCGAATAAAAGGAGCATATTTTTTTTTCTACAGAGTAGATACGTAAATGACAACAAGATGGCAAGTGTACATCTAGTGAGGCCTTTTCAAGACTTTCCCTGCTAACACATGATAACATAGTGTCAGACATTAACATCTTCCGCATTCATATCACACATTAAATGTAATTTCAGAAATAAGTATGTGAGAGTTGAGTGGTGTTTCAGTTGATCAGTGACATAACAGGCTTAGCAGAACTTAAACACTGATTAATTTTTGAGCCATTACATTTTTCCTTCTTAGGTAAATTTCATATTTTCTACATAGTTGAAAACACAGGCACCACTTTGTGCCAACGGTGCTAAGAGGTAAGCTAAGCCTGCTGCCTCCTGGTGTCTACTCCACTGTGCTCGGAAAGTCTAATCCAAATGATCTGCCACTGGGGTCCTCCTCTGAGGTCTTGCATCCCCGGGGAACTGCCAAGGTGAAAAGCAGGAGTTTCTAAGTCAAGATCTGACACAGTTTTCTTGGAGGGCTTGCCCCAGTCTTTGAACAGCAATGGGCCATGAGGCAGCTCACTTTGCTTATTCTCTAAAGAGCCTTGATGACCTAAGGAGATGAAAGTCTCTATTTTGGCTATATTTTTTCACTTAAGTAAGTTTGTAAATCTTGAGGGTATAAGTCAACCTGCTGTGAGTTTTGGGAACATGAATCAATCCATTAGACTTTCATGGAAAGAAAATTTAGATTTTGAAACTAAAATATAAAGCTCTCTGGAGAAGATACTTTGCATGTGAGTTTGCAATAAAGCTCTTTCTCTGATCCTTCTATTCCATCAGTAACCCACCCCCTCCCCACCCAGGAATGTTGTTCAGCAGTGTTTATGTATTAGAAATTCCATATAAATACTTGCACTCTTTTTCAAAGGAGCTAGTCTCATTGTAGGAGACTTTACCTTTGATAAAATCCAAATAATTAATATGTTGAATCTAACTAATGAAATGTTTTGACGTTATGTCCCATATTAGCAAAATAGAAGAGAAATAATTTATAATTGAGTAAAAACAGACAAACGTTAAAGCTGTACTGAAAGTCTTGGTTGTGCTCTGAAGCATTATATACTTAAAGCTAAAATAATGCTACCTCTTTCCAAACTGGCAAATTAAAATTTTGTGGGGAATACAGGGTTATCTTGGAGAGTTTTTTGTCTTAGTGACAAGTTTTGACCTGCTGTTTATAATGCAGATAGGACATTCTGATCCATTGGAGAAGCCAAAATGTTAAGGTCATTTCTATTGATAATAGATTTAGAATTCACATCTTGTACTCTGGCCTAAAACATTTGCTAAAATTGGTGACCTCTTAAATCCACCCCTTAAATTTTTCATGATCCAGAAAAGTCAGTAAAAGCCTGATTTTTGCCTAACTGTTCAAATAAATTAGAAGAATGTGTGTTTCACCTAAATTATCCAGAATGACTGTTAACATTATCAGTAAAATTTCACCCCAAAAAGATTGGCTGCTTTCCCAATGCATGTATTCAGCAGATAGGAGCGGAGGGCAAAGAATGAAGATGAGGGAAGAGAAATGAGGTCAGAAAGCCTGTTAAAACTGGAAGAAACAAAGAAATTGTCCACTTCTGAATCAACTCTTCATTTTATAGTTGAGGAAACTGACATTTCTTCCAGACCTGCCCTCGGGCAAGAACCTCTTGTACATATCAGGTACTTTGTTAAAGTTGGGAATTGAAAAAAAAAGGGGGGCGGATTGAAGAAGTCCTCACTCGCATCCTAAGAATTCCTTACTTAAATGGGGATAAGAGAAATGATCTCACATGGGAAATTTACTTATAATTCTCCCAAACTCTCTCTGCCCTTCCCCTTCTCTATTCTTAGCCACCCACCACTCTGGCCCATCACCACTATTTGCTCACCCTACCTGCTCACCCTACCTTCCAAACACCGTGTTCTGTGATCTGTGCCTGCCAGCGCTCCCTGGGAAGGGTAACCTAGCCAGCCACACACTGAGCCCCAGGAGCAGTTTAGTTGGATTTTCATTCTAGACTCAACTTCTCAAACTTTATGTAAATATAAAAGTGCATCACCTGGGAATGTGGTGAAAAATGCAGATTCTGATTCAGTAGGTTGGGTCCAGGGACGGAGGTTGTGCATTTCCTGGTACGCTCCTGGGTGGAACTGATGCTGCTGGCCCAACATGCTTCTGAAGAATGCCTTCCCCTGCTTTCGGAAGCATATGTGAATGCTGCTGCAACCCAGAGATACAGGTGTGTGTGTGTGTGTGTGTGTGTGTGTGTGTGTCTTTGTGTGTATGTGTGTGCGCGCGCTTATGTGTGTATGCCTACAGGTGTATGTATGTGTGCATGGCATTTTTTGAGTCTATACTGTGTTCAGCAACTTGCACACATTACTTCATTTGTACCTCATAACTAACCAGGTGAATGAGGAACTTTAAGCTTCGTGGTACAAATGAGGATACTGAGTCTCAGAGAGGCTAAAAACTTGCTCAAGTGAGAAGTAGGGCTGAAATATGTTTTTACTAGTGGTACGTAGGGACTAACTCAGATACATGTTCTCTTTCTAAAAGATCTGGGGCATATTTGTTACCCAAGGACCACACTCTGATTTATGCAAAAGTTGTCATACCATCATCTCTACTTTCTGCTCAACTGCTCTAGGCATGGGAACCTGGGGCTTTGGGTGGGGAAGTGCACGCCACTGCTCATCTCAGGTGAAGCTGCACACAGGTGAAGCTTGTGAGCCCTGGCAGGTGAGTTTCAATTCCCAATGCCCTTATATCCCTGCAGGGGAACATCGTGAGCAACCAGGTTTGTTGAGTTCAGGACACACCTGTTGGTCAACATCAGCAGCACAAAAATGCTTTAAAGAGATGGGAGTGAGTTTATACTCAGCTCAAGGCCTTGGGTTCAGGGTCTTTCAGCAGCTTTTTCTCAGAGTATGTGCATTGTGTGTGAATTCCAGAAAACACTGCTCCTTTGTTTCCTGCCTCTTCGTTTCCCAGGGATGGAATGAATATTTCCATTGCACCTGTTCTTTTAAGCTTCGACAATGTACTTTTTTTTTTTAACAATGAGAACAATTGGGTTTTCTATTTGAAGTATAAACAAACTCAGTCTTTTGTATTACCAAGCTGTTGTTTATCCCAATCTTTGTTGAAATTCATAAGAGGTCAAGTATAAATGATTAAAGGACTTGGTTTGGTCCTTAACCTATAATGCCATGGGGCAGTGAGGAGGAGGGCTCAGAGAAATAAACATGGATATACAGGGCATCAGGCAAAAGTAGGCTTACAGTCTTGAGTATGTGGAACACAGTCTTATCATTGTATTATTATATTTTAATTATTGTATTATTTCCCATAGACAACTGTAAACTTACTTTTCTCCCACCCTATATTCCCATTCTGTAATGCTCTGTGCAATTCCTGTATATCATTTTGTACTTTTACTAAACACTTATTTGATTCTGACTTACCCCTTGTTAGTCTAGATGTTTCCATCACTAGATATAGATAGGTTTGTAAAGTTTTTGGTGGCAGGAACTACATGTTATTTGTATTTGTATGCCTGGGGTGCCTAACTAGCACGATATCCATAGTAGAAGTTCAATAAATGTTTGATGTTGAAAGAATGAAAGATCAAACACAGAAATTTAAATTAAGAAGCTGGTATGTATATCAAAGTGGCACATTGAGGTAACAGCTGCCATGTGTCTGGGCTCGTTCTACAAGAGATGGAAGAACTGTACCATCATCCCTGCCTTCCAGGACTTTCCCTCCTTGTTAGAATTTTGCAGGGAAGAATTTTCAGCTGGTTCTTGGGGTGTGAGATCCGGAGAGGCATTGGGTCCCTTCTCTGCACTCAGTTTTCCTAGCCAGAAACAGCCCTTCTGGGGAGGGGCTGGGCATGGGGACTGGCATCCTGCTGAGCCTCTCAGCGACCTCCGGTTCAGTTCTCCATCATCCCAAGTTAGAAGGCCCTGGAGCGCCCTGAGACTGAGAGATGACGAGTGGTGGCTGGTTGGCCAGAGCCATCTTTTTATGGGACACACCAACATTTGTTGGGATTTTTTTCCCCAAGTAGCGGCTGGTTATTTCCAACTAGAACAGAAAGTTTCCTTCATTTGGACTAGAAAGGGAGGGTTGCTAGCTTTAGTCCTGCTTAGCTGAGGTGCGGTCTCCATTCCAACCCTGGACTTTCAGGGCTCCCTCAGTACTGTTTAAGGCTTGACGGAGAGGGGATGACCCTGTCCCTTGTCATCCAGCTCTGAGTTCCAAAGTTACAACCTTCCATCTCCCAGGTGCCCTGAAAATGTGCAAGGGGCAGGCTGAAGATAAGAGCAGGAGGCTGTGGGCACAAATCCATTGCATAGAATTCCCAAACACGTTCCCATGTAACAGTGAACCATAAAAATGCTGGTCGTGCCCATAAACACAAAAAGAAAACAAAAGCCACATGAGATATCGCTTTTTAAATATCTTGTACAACATGGAGTCAGATTCACAAGAGTTTTAGCTCTCTTTTACAAACATCAATTGCATTTGCAACAAATACTTATAAATCCCATATAAAACTAATAGACAAGCCTATCTTAGCATGGGAAACTCTAAGAAATGCTAAATCCATTGGTGATTTGCTTAAAGAAGCAAGAACTTCACTTGATATGGGTCAGATATTATAGTATGTATTTTATCTATCACTTTTATTCAATCCTCAGTCCTCACAATAGCCCTCTGAGGTGGGCGGTATAACCACCACCCTGTTTTAAGAGTTAGGGGATCGAGGCTTAGAGGGGTGGACTAAGGCTGCGCGATAGTGAGGACCACAGTAAGTGTTGCCTGGGGAAGCTGAGGTCAGCCTCAGCTGGTTGTCTCAGAGCAGCCTAGCAGCCGCGGTGCCCTGAGCGCTCTGCCAACAGCGGATATTTTCACCACTGCCTTAAAGCATGCTTCAATGCCTACACTGTCAGAGGGGAAAAGAAGACCCAACAATCCTCTAGCTTGGTGCCGAGCTTTAATAATTCAAAGCACTTTACCTTTATTTTATCACGTTTGATCACCTCAGTAATCCTGTGACAGAAAAAGAAGTCACTAACATAATAATCACTGTGGCTCTGTGACAATGAGGTAGAAGAATGCTATCAGGTATGCTTGCAGTATCACTATGCTCTTCCTTAAAAGGTGGCAGGTCACCTGGTATAAGTCTTCTCCGTCATAGATGAGGACATGAAGGCAGACAAGGTTTACTGAGTTGGTCCGAGCTCACCCAACTCCTTGTAGGCCAGGTAAGGACTCGAATCCTGGTCCTGTGTAGGTCTGTGTCTGCTTGTCCTGGCACTCAGGAAAGTCTGTGACAGAAATGAAAGAGTTCCCAGTTGCCACCCAACATTTCAATCCAAACAAGCCCAGCTCCTTGCCGCAGTTAGAAAAGATTATCTTTTGTAACATCATTCATGAAACCATCATATTAACTCCTGGTTTCTTTCTCAAAATATCAGACACAGTCTCTCACATCTACAGAATACCTTGATAGCTTGATACGTATAGTTTCTTCTTTCTTTTTCCTTAAATTGTGAGATAGAGCATACATTTATACAGGAGAGTGGAAAAACATTTGCATTCAGATTGAAGATTGGTTATAAAGGCTAATTACTATTTCTGTTTTAAGATATAGAACATTATTAACATCCCAGGACACCCCATGCTCCCCCAAACACAACCTCTGTCTTGCTTCTGGGATAATTATTTTCTGGCTTTTCTTCATAGTTTTACCTATTATGTATGCATCCCTGAACAATAGTTTCACCCTGCCTGCTTTGGAATTGTTCTGAACAGAGACACTTCATGTGGTGTGTGTTAGTTGGTTCTTTGAACATTTTTTTCTGATTTGGCCCTTCAGGAATCCCTGAGCCATCAGCCATGGCCACCAAGCCCAGGCTCTGGTACTTCCGCGGCAGGGGCAGGATGGAGTCGATCCGTTGGCTGCTGGCTGCCGCTGGAGTGGAGGTTGGTTCCTGATTGGGAAAAAGGAAGGAGAGTAATTTGGGTGAGACTGAAGTGAGCCTCTTCCCTCTTCAAAATTCAGGATGGTGCCTCCAAGCCATGCTGACTGGTCCTCTTTCCAACGGTCTTCCTTTGTGAGAGGTGAAGAAGGGAGCACAGTCCTCTGTTTAAGCAGGGCTGGGAGGGTGGAAGCCAAGGGAGGTGTTCTGGAAGCTTTGTGGTGGCTGGAAAGATCTTGGTGGATCATAAGATAAAGGTGAGAAAGGAGAACCACACCTGAATCATTTCTTTCACTGGGACCAGCCGATCTCCAGGGGTTGTTTCAGCTCTGCCTTAGCATCTCAGTCCTGTTAAGTCATGGCTGCGAGCTGGAATCCTAGGCCCAACTGCAGCCTGGTCTCCCCTTGAATCCTCATCTGAAGGGCCTGCCCCACAGGGACCTTTTCTTAACTCTGAATTCCTCTCCACTGACTTTTCTGTATTTTCACAAGTGGAGTTGTCTGGTTTCATGCAGGTGTAGACTTCCTTTTCCCTATTTTAATGTCATCTCTAGAACAAGGACTCATGACCTGCTTTGTTTTTCTCTTTTCCCTTTAAGGGCTTCTGTCCTAACACTGCTCACCTTATCCTACTCCCATCTCAAGGTTTGAGGGACAAAAAAGTCGCTCTTTCCCACAAAAGCTTTAGAAACTCCATCAATAAATTATGAAACCCCACCTGAGTAATGATCTTTGGACCCCTATCATTGAACATATGAGCATTAAAGGGAAATTTGATTTGATCTGATATGGAGGGAGAATAACATGGAGAAGAGAAAGAAAAGAAAAAAACTGAAGAGGAGAAGTCATTGGGGAAATTGGAGAAAAAGGCAAGAGTTTGGAGAGAAGGAAGAGCTAAGGCAAAGAAAAGGAAAAATATGACTTGGGTCTACGGGATATGCTTGAAGCAGGCCAGGAACAGAAAGGGGTGTCAGTCCTAGCCAATCTAAGCAAATCTACACGCACACTCTATCAGAATTTTCAGCTGTGTGGTAGCTGATAGCTTTGTGTTCCTTTTAAGTCTTTTCTTCCTGGAAGCCATTGGGCATTTTATACTTTTTCTTTCTCTCTTTTCTTCCTTCCTTCTTTTCTTGACCTTAAAGTTATAACAATATCTCTGTCCTTTATCTAGTTTGAAGAAGAATTTCTGGAAACAAGAGAACAATATGAGAAGTTGCAGAAAGGTGAGCCTAGATGTGTTCAATATCATCTAATTGGAAAAAATAGAAAATTTGTTTCTGGAACTCTTCATTTTATTTTAGAACACAGCCCTCTAGAATGACAACTATTAGGAAAGGCATGGTGTGACCACTAACATCAATTGCCTGTTCACTGTGTCCCGGGCCCAGAGCTAAATGTGTCATCTGCACTGTCTCTTTAGCCTCCATAAAAGCTTATCATGTAGGTTATCCCGATTAGGTAAGATAGCATGAGCAGGGGTTGCCCAGTGCCAATTGGTTCAAAACTCCCCATTCCACTGAAGCATCCTTTAATTCCTAAATAATGATCCAGAAAGTTGAAAGGGAGGGACCAAAAAGGAAGAGGAATTTGACCTAAGATATTCTCTAGTTCTCGTCATTCATATCCACTTGTTCTTGGTGGTTTTAACAGATTAATGGAAACCATTTTATCAGGTCACAATTTTAGAATCAAGGTAATAGAAAAGATCCAACTTCGTTTAAATTTGGATCTAAGACTGTTTTAATCCCTGTAATTCCCTAGAAAAATTTCTTACACTGAGAGAAAAGACTAGTACTTTCAAATTTCTAGTAGCCATAACATTATTTTTCTTATCGAAGGAAAACTGGGTGTCCCTTTGTTGCTGATAAACAATCATAAAATTGACAAATTTTTTTTTAAGGAAAACATTCAACCAGTAATCAGCACACCTGCCACATATAAACTGTATGACTTTGGGCAAAGCCTTCAACTGCTCTGCATCCTGTCTCTTTACAAAAATTTTTTTGAACTAAAGTATAGTTGACATAAACATCCTCTTTATCATAAAATAAAAATAATTTCTATGGTCATGGATTGCAATGTGCCGGTAGATCTTATTGAGCCTGCTCACCCCTTCCCCAAGTCTTGTCTAGGAACTTTATTATCTGGAATCCCCTGAAGTTCCTCTTCTTTATTTCTGCCCGTTTTACCACACACAAGGACAGTCACTCGTACAGGGTACAGATTAAATACATATATGCATTTTGAATATGTAAATGACTGTATTCCCATGATCTCTCTGTGATCACTCTGGCAGGAGTGCTCCCTCAGAGCCTCTGAAATCCTCCAGCCCTCTCTCAGACCGTGATGCTGCTAGTGCACTTGGGACACCCTCCTGGCCCTTGCTGCTGTCTGTGAACAGAAGGCAGAGAGAGACGGCAGGAGGATCGCTGGTCTGGGAGGCAGCAGGCCCACTTCTGCTGGTTAAGCTGTCCCTGACACTGTGAGTTTGGGCAAGTCACGTGTGCCTCCGTTGGCCTCCACCCTATCATTGTCTAAAGTATGAATGAATTAAATGAAATAATCTCAAACTCTTTGATCTCTTTTCTGCACTCTTGATCTGAGGGGTTTTTTTAAAAAATCCTTCAGAAGATCATCAGCTCCTGGTTCTAACGGGTATTGCATCACTCATAAACAGCCCAGTCCAGCTTTAGAAGCTCCTTCAATAATGAACAAATGTAGAGCATTTAGGAAATTGAGGTTTTGCAGTATTAATAACAGTATCCATATTTCCAAAGCATGGCTACCAGCATGATCTTATTCCTGCTCAAAGAAACTCAGTAAGATGGACAGGACAGAAAGTGTCACAGAAGAGAAAATAAACTAAGGGAAGTTAGACTTGCCTAAAGCCATCGACTTTCACAGGGACCCTGGCCCCCTTGAAAGCTCTTACTTGTTGGGAAATGCCCTGTCTGGTTTCAGGAACTGTAACCCCATGACAGGCTGGAAGGCCCCAAGGCTGCAAATAATCAGAGGCCTTGGAGAAACAGGCTCCTGAGGAGACATAACCTGTTCCTCTGCCCCCAAGCAGGGGCCTACCTCCTGCCTTTCTGCTTGGCCCTGTGATGGTCCCTTGTACCAGTATGGGAAGCAGACAAGAAACTGGGGGGACACAGAGAAAGGGCAAAAAGGCCCGCACCCCTCAGCCTGCCTTGGGCATGGCCGGAGTCCTCATTCTATCCAAAAGAATGCTCCTTGTCTCTTGGCAGCTCCCTCCCCCTGCCTGGCTCAGGCTTGAAGCAATACCAGAGACAGTCCTAAAGCAATCTGGCAGCTCTTGTGGAAATCAGGCCTAAAAGTAAATTCTTTAAAATGTGCTTTGTTTTTCCCTCAGAAGCTACAGCCAGCTCATGCTGGGAAGGAAATTTACATTATTTACAGATTCTAACCCTTTATCCTTAGGCACTCCTATGTTTACTATGCTCTCATGTTTAGTTGTCTCTCTTGTTGACTAGTCTCCTCTCAGACCCATATAAATCGGTGTGTTCCTGCCATTTGTTTTCTTTAAAACATCACCCATTCTCTGTGAACATCAACATACTGATGTAATGAGATAACCTGTGCATCCCTGTTACCTAGCCCCACTGATAACCTTTTCAGTAAAAGCCTTTGGACAGAGGGACTCGGGGCCTCCCCACTAGGGGGATGTGCCATGTCTCCTCCTGGCAAACGGAAAAGTAATTGCGACGACTCGTGTTTATTCCCCCCATCCGTGACACCCCCGGGACGGGCTCTGCGGGATTCAGAGTCTGCACTCCCATCTCAGCTGACCCCGGACAGTAACCCTCGGATCCCAGAGTGCCGCCCTCCCTACAGCTCGCTCCGGTCCCCGCCAAGGCAGTTGCTGCCCCTAGCGGGGACGCGCGGGGACGCGCGGGGACGCGCAGCAGCGCTCCCCCACGGGCCACACGCAACAGTTACTGGTCCCTGTACGGGTGTTCTCCCCACCACCTTCTGCCTCTAACTAACCTATTAGCAAAGAAATTAAATTGGGGAAATTAACTGCGGCCTTTGGCAATGCACTAGTGAAGTCTGGCTCCTATTCTGGGTCAAGTTCCTTAATCTTAGCAATGTACAGGTGTAAATGAAATTCAAAGGCTATTCATTTCTTCAAGATCACATGAAAAGAGCAATATTTGTAGCATATTTTAAAATACACTAGTTATGTAGGCAGTCACTCACAAAGAAGAAAACGGGCAGTTTGATTTTTCTAAACACTGACTTGACAGTATTCATTATTTTACTGATGTCATCTCATTTCATCCCTTCAAAATCCTGCCAGATATGTATTGTTACTGTTTTAGAGAAAAGGAAGCTGAAGCTTTAAGTCATTTACTTAAAGTCACATGGCTGGAAGGGGCCAAAGCTGACATGCAGATCCAGGTCTGCCAGGGTTCTTACTGTCACATCGTCTTAACACTGCGTGGACCTAGAGTGATACCCAATGTACTTTTTGAAGAATACAGACTCCCAGGCTCCACCCTGAATCAGGATATCTGGGAGGTGCGGGTGAGTATTTTTAACAACCCACCTCCCCCAGGCAATTTCTATACACCCTAAGCTTTGAGACCCAGTCATAGTAGATGTAGACAGTCCTAAATAATCATGACTACCCAACACAAAAAGATGCATGAAACCATCAACCAAATCTCATATTTTCCATTAAGCAAATGGAAGGCATCTTCCTAAATAGCTGGGGTCTTTAACTCACCACTTTGGACAAAAATTAAAAATCATCCAATGAAATTAGAAGTGGACACTTTTGCAGGCTTACCTCAACCATAGAAGGAGAGTATCTTAACCTTTCTTTGTTCAAACCATAGATGGATGTCTGCTCTTTGGCCAAGTGCCTCTGGTTGAAATCGATGGGATGATGTTGACACAGACTAGAGCCATCCTCAGCTACCTGGCTGCTAAGTACAACTTGTACGGGAAGGACCTGAAAGAGACAGTCAGGTAACATAAGATTCATGCCTGTACTTGATTCTTATCCAGGCCTATGAAGGTGCCAACTGAGACCTGGTTAGGATGTAGCCTTTCAGCCTGGACTGAGAGAAGTCAAAAGGAACAAAGGAGAGATGTGCTCTTGCCATACCCAGCATGACCTAGGCTTAACTCCAGATAAAAACCCTTGGCTTCTCCTTTTACTACACGTAGCAGTCTGCATTCAACATTCACATATCCTCTCCCTGCTTGTAACAACATACCGTCTCATAAAATGACCTGGTGTTCTACATGAAGATGGAAATGAATGACTTAGTAAATAAATATTGACCATTCGCAGCAATGTTCAATTACAACAGATAATACTATGTAGCATATCTTGAAGCTCAGTGACTTAATCAGCAAGCTTTTATTATTACTCAGCAGTCTGTGGGCCATTTGGGTGGTCAGCATATCTGGGCCAGGCTTGACTTACCTTGGCTGCACTCACTCATATGTCTGTTGTCAACTAGTCGTCAGTCAGGAGACTCTAGTCTGGGATGTTGGCTGACTACTTATTGGGAGGCAAACGGGCCATCCAGAGGGCACCTCATGGCAGCTAGGGAGGGCTCTACAAAGGAGAATGAAAGCACACAAAGCCTCTTAAGTTCTAGGCTCAAAACTAGTACCTTAGCAATTCTACCTCATGTTAATCAAAGCACGTCATGAAGCAGCTCAGGAAATAGACCTTGTCTATTAATGGAACAAGTGGCCAAGTTTTATTATAAATACCAGAGGGTGAATAATTGTGGATATTCGGATGATTAGTTTAATTTCACAGGAGATAAGTAGACAAGACAAAACAAAGGCAACTACAAAATTTTATCTGGATTTATTATGGTCAAGGGGCATTTTCAGTGATCCCTTATATCTTATCACCATAAGCATGGATATGATACAATGATCAGTAAACATAGAAGACATGGTAGATGAAAGGCCCAAGCTCAATTGTTCAGAAAAAAAGAGAGAGCATTACATAGAAATGAGCAAAGTCCATAAATAGAGGCAGCTCACCCAACATTCCCAGAGCTCCACCTTCAAAACGTACTTAGTCATTCTAACCTGCAATCCCATGGGTATACACCAAGAGAAGCAATTTAAACACAGTGTATGAACAGAATCCTTTTATAATGTAAACAAGTACTAACATGCAAAACAGTCTGTTTCTCATTGTTTCAATGCATGTTTTTGACTGTGTTTTAAAAATACCCACAGCTTTTTTCCAAGATACGTGTCCTAAGCTATAGGTAGCAGTATTGAGGTTCTTTTCTCCAGGTTAGGCATAAACTTTAATAGACCAAAGCAAGCAGGCTAGATGGCAATCTAACATGAAAGAAAAAAGAGTTTGTAATTCAGGACAATGAAAGTAAATTATTCTTTTATATATGTTAAAAAGGAAGATGAAGACCAAGAAGATGATTACATTTTTTGGACAATTAGCACATAGTAGAGGATACAAAGACAGACAACCCTTAAGGAGTTTGCAAACTGGTTATAGAGATAACTAGCACAGCATGACTGTACCAATAGGCCAACAAGTAAGAGTAATATATCTACCATTATTAGATTTTTCATAACCTTTTTAAAACAGTGTTTGTCAATGGCAGGAAAACTGTGAAGAGAATGAAAGGAGCAGTTTGTCTGACCTAACTAGGAGAGTAAACTTCTTTCTCAGTTGGCAGGTCCAAGGAAGACATGCTAAATTGTATATGTATCTTCCAAGTGAAAAGGTTCTGTACTTTTGGTAAACTTCACTCAGTTTCCTCTTTAAATCCATGATAATCTAATTATTTGTTTATGGAAGATTTCAACTTAGAGGCACTCATGAACTCTTTCACATATCCCTTTATTCAATAAACATTTCCAGAGACCCTACTCTACCAGGGTCACTTGGCTAGTTCTGGTTTCAGAAATCATTCCTGGGCGTGGAAACCAAGGGAGGGAGAATCAAAAGTCATTTGCCCCAATTTCTAGTTACACCATAGAAATTGCTGATTAGGAAACCCACACGGGAGACTTCCTCTAGAAATGAATCACACTGTGTTTTGTTAGGATCAACATGTACACTGATGGCACTTTGGATCTCATGATGATGATTGCGCTGGCTGCCTTCAAACCCCCAGAAGAAAAAGAGGAGAATCTTGCTTTAATTGTGATGAAAGCTAAAACCCGTTACTTCCCGGTGTTTGAGAAGGTAGGCTGCAGGGGTCCAGTCTGGACAGCTATTAGGCCTCACCCGGCGGGGACTGGCAGGGACCAGCAGTGCCCTGATGCTCATGTGACCCAGGGTCTGATCCGGGTCCGTGACCCTGCATGCTCAGATCTTGGGGTGGGGAAAAAGGGGACATGGAGCTAACTTTATGAGGACCCTCTAATCCTCGGGTCCCAGAAAGGAGATAGGGAAGGGAAAGTGTGTTGCAGCCTCCCTAGGCTGGGCACGTCCACTCGCGACTCAGGTAGACAGAAGAAAATGCATGGAGCCGTGGGGATGCTTGACATGCCTTTATTCAGGAGTCATACAGGCCACAAGCCCATGTCTATGTCAGCCCCCTTACTCTCTCCCTCTCTCTCTCCCTCTCTCTCTCTCTCTCTCTCTCTCTTTCTTTCCTCCTTAAGTACTAGCACAAACAAAGCCAGCTTCAGGCCAAAAAGTGAGGTAACCTAACATGAGCTATGCATATGAACCCACTCAAGGCTAGGGGGCCGTTTATTGCACCCAGGCTCAAGGCTGTGAGAACACTGCTTTATCAGACTCCTTCAAGGTTGTGTGAAGCTGCCCGCTCTAGTTGCCCAAGCGCCTGGGTGAGGAGGCCAGGCTGCCTCCACGTAGCCTACAGAAGGGCGAGACTGGGAGGGTCAGCGTGAGCACAACAAGTTCCCACTTCCCTTCCCAGGCTGCAGGGATCCAGAACTTTACATTTCCAGTTGCTGATAAGCCTATTTAAGAGTATCTGAAAAGACAGAGACCATATTAGAGCTTTCCTGAATTTGGATTAAAGCTTTAATGAGGATTCCAAAACAAATGACATGGATAATTATGGAACGTACAACAAAACAGAATTAGAATAGACAAAGTGCACTGAAAGGATACAGAATTTCTGTATTGATTGAAACAAACAAAAAAATGATCAGCCCAAGACACCATTATCTTGAATTCTTTGTGTCAGAAATTTTTTAGGCTTAATATTGTCAGCCAATCATGCCTCAATGAAAAGACAAAGCCTCTTAAAGTTACAGCATTCCTGCAGTCATTTTGGAGTGAATACTAATTACAAATGCCTTCTCAGCACTGGTATGTCTGGTAAGGTTCTAAAAGGGGAGCATGCCATGTGATAGAGACTTGTTAGCACAGGGTTCCATAAATAAAGGTTTGCAGGACAAAATAATTCTGTGGTATAATTCAAAATGATTCAGTCTTAGCCTTGAAAAGGAATAATTTACTTCTGTGAACTATAATGAAGAGTTCTACCAGAACCTCAGAGTACTAGACAAGCAAGTTCCTGTTTATTTGGGGACAATATACAGTGATGTTGAAATACTTTCCATTAAAAAAACCCAAAAAACTAGTATGATTATTTGAGTTACAGCTTTATCATGCTACAGATTTTAAAGTCTGTGTGGCCTAATCCAGCATTTTAAAATATTCAAATTATTTAAAAATATTTAAAATAATTCATTTATTCAAATGAAGATCAAACTCAAATTCATTCATTGTAATTAGTCAATTACATAGTATTTTAAGCCCCTTTTAATTTCAAGTTCTCTCTTCCCTCTCGCTTTTTCTCCTCTTCCCTCTTGCATTTGTCTTGCTGAGTTTCTCATAGTCTGGATTTTACCAATTGCAACACACTCCTCTATTCCCTAGATTTTCTATCAATTCAAAGTTAGAACTGGAAGTTTGACAGGTTCAGATTTGATGTACTTTGGTCAGACCACTTCATTGGTGGTACTGTGTGGGTCATAAGGAAGCACATATTATCTGGTTGTCACTCTTCTTATGCTAAGTGTGATTGATGATCAATGCCTAGAGCCACCGATTTATTAGTGGATACAAATGTCGACATCCCAATCCTGTCAGTCGCTCTTCATTTATCACCTGGAATCCTTTTTCTAAAATGACTCTTCCCCTCATTATACATTTGGTTACTCTGGGGTATGGTTTTTGTAGGAAAGTAGGATAAATGTTACTTTCTTTGTATTCACCAGGTTTGGGCTTCTTGTATCCCATTGGTCTCTTACTTGTACTTGTGTCTCCCTCTACTGATGGGTACACTTTTGCTTAACCAGCTGTAGGCTCATAACAGGGAACCCCATTCTGGCACTTCACCACCCGAGACATCTTGATAGAAACCGACAAATTTCCCCAAAGATGTTGTTGGCAGCAATGTGGAAGGGTGTTGGTTTTATTCTGTCCTTGCCAGCATTCTTAAGGATTATCAAGAAAAAGATTCTATAGGAAATTTGATCTGTACATGCATTGAAAGTGTTTAGCCAGGCAAAATTTTATTTGATATTCTTTGTTGTTTTTCTTTTTGCAGATTTTGAAAGACCATGGAGAAGATTTCCTCGTTGGCAACACATTTAGCTGGGCAGACATACAACTGTTAGAAACTATTTTAATGTTGGAAGAACTCAATGCTTCTGTTCTGTCTGACTTCCCTATGCTAAAGGTAGTGTGTCAACACCCACACAAAGCCCGGGGGGAAAAATCAATAAAAACAAAGCTTGAAACAAACTGTGCCTCTGGGTCAATCTCAAAAGAAATTTAATACTATTTTTTAAAAAAAAATCAGTATTTTATTTGTTTTGGTAATTTTCTCCTGCTCATATTATAAGATGGTTAGAAAATAAAAACTTATGAAGAGAAAGAGAATCGATTATTTGGATTTCTAGCATAAATATTTAGTGTGCTTTTCATTTCTGTGGTGCTTTCCATTGTTTGTTGAGTACTTCAAATGTTTCTTCCTTAGGAAGCAAGGATGACAAGGCTGTCTTTGCTGTCTCCTTCCCAGCCTACTGAACAACTCTGCCCCCCAGAGCCCCCCCGACGCTGGCCCAGGGGAGACCCTGGGCTGCCCCGATCCGCTCCCTGGGTGGCACTGCCCGCCTCCTGCTGCGATGCCCCAGCCCTCAAACCCCTCCTTCTCAGTCCTGCCACTGCCAGACCCTACCTGGCCTCTGTTCTAATTCCTTAGAAACCTTTTATTTACCAGGTGTCACAGGTTTTATAGAAATAGCATTTTTTTCTTATTGCAAAAGAAATGCGAGGTTAGGTAGCTACGTTACATGTTTGTATAAACCAAAAGAGAAAAATCTAACCATCTAGATCGTACGGCATCCTGACCATTATTTTACATTTTGCTCCCCAAATAGGATCATCCTGGATGTTTTTGTGGCCTGCTTTAACACTGTCTCAATTATCAGAAATATATTTACATGTCAACAACCATTCTTCTGTAATATAGTTTTATTTTCATTAGGCAATAGAGTCACATCTTTTTGAAGAACCAGAATTGTATGAAAAGGGCATAAGTGAAGAAACGTCGTGCCTGCCACTGCCCTCCCACCTTTCTGCCTCGATCATCACTGTGTCGCTTTGCTGTGTGCGCTTCCGCTGTTCCTCTTCATGCCGATGCGAGCAGAAACGAGTGCATATTTATCCCCTCTTTTTCTTACACAATACCGTGAGCTGTGTTGTCCCCTGAACAATGCATTCTAGAGATGTTCTCACATCAATACCAAGGACCTTCTTCTTTCCTTTTATATATTACATCATTTTAAATTGCTGGCTGACAGTTTTTCTTTGGAAACCCAGGTTATGTCTAATTTTTCACTGGCTAACGTTCTTATAGTTATTTCTTTGATAACATCCTTACTTATTCCTTTATAACAAATTCCTAGAATGAGAATTGATAAGTTAAAGAATTTGAGTTTTTAACATGCGCTGCCTAGTTGTGATAGTGATTTCTTTTGTATTAAGATAATTTAACTCATGTTATACACACCAGTAATGGTATTACCCCTCCCAGGAACATCAGTAAACACACACTGAGGCATTAACTCAGATTCAACACATGGGGCTCTGTATGCTGCTGGTCTAAGCCTCCTCCTCTCATGACAAAGTTTTAATTTTTCTTAAAGGTTGTGGCCACTTTTGAAGCCCTGATTTTGCTGTTTCTCATTCCAGGCATTTAAAACAAGAATCAGCAACATCCCTACAATTAAGAAGTTCCTGCAGCCTGGGAGTCAGAGGAAGCCGCCCCCGGATAGCAGCTATGTTGAAGTGGTCAGGCACATTCTGCAGTTCTAACAGCAGCAGGTCTAACAATGGAAAAAGTCACTATCTAATCGCAGCCATGGTAGTACCCAAGCTTGCTGTAGACTCTAGGTGTAAAATGTCTGAAAAGAACAAAGCCATACTGCCATCAGCAGCAAATGCCAATTAAACGCAATATAAAACCATTTTGTTATGTGAAAATTTTTAAGCTTGTCATTTGTGGATGACGGTTACAACTTATTTGAGATCAACGTATAGGTAAATAGGAGGCTGATAGTGGCCTACATGGGGCACTGTTCTTGCTGTCTGTATCCAGATCAGAACCATTGGGGGATAGGGCAAGCAGAGCTTTGGGGGGGCCAGATCTTTCCACACCCACCCTGATGCTGAGTACTTGAGATAGAAAAAAGTGGCAAGTGACAAATTGTCAGGGAGAGGATGGATGATGCTTGTAAGTCCTAAGGGGAAGTGTAGGGGACAGAGACTGTCCTAGGAACACCATTTCGAGACCCTGGTTAAAAAAAAAACAACAAAAAACTTTGGCAATTAGAAAATCTATTCCACCTAACATAGCCACCAAGACTGGATTTGCTTTGGTGAAATAATTCCAAGTAACACTGAGATTAAGATATAGCCAATGAATATTTATATAAATTGACCCAAAAACCCTCTTGACTGGATCAATACATTTTCTTTAAGGATGACCATTGTCTTCCCAAGTTGTGGAAGCTTCAGCTGCACATCAGGGCTCTGATGGGGGATGGAGGAGCTGAGATGGGGGGACTCTTCAGGGTGATGTTACAGGCCCAGATGTGGTGCTAGGTGGGTAGTCGCTGGTCTGGAATGGGGTTCCTGCCATTGTTTTGGGGTACATGATTTTACCAGCTCTACACTGCTGCTGGACGTCCCACCCAAGCTTGATCAGTTTTTGAATGTATATTCATGTACAGATCCTTACTTATAAAGTGACCTAATGTCGCATCAGCCCTCAGCGCCACCACAGGGCATGAACTTCTATACCACACACTGCCCCATTCATTCAGGCGATGGACTGACCGCTCAGCAGAGTTATGACACGCTGAGCCATTCAGCATCTGCCACCCCAGCCTGCCTGAGGTCCTGCTCCCAGCGTGGTCAGATCCCAGCCTGGGCATTCCATTTAGCTAATCACCCCAACTCATTCCCGCCCTGACAAAGCCATGGCCAACTAACAGGTGATGAATAAGACAGAGGGGTAGAAAAGGCTTTTCAGAGGAAACCCTGCCCACCCCTATGTGGGATGACTTCATCCTCTGACTTCCATCAGAGCCGAGAGTCTGATCTTACAGAAATTAAGTGGAAAAAGAAAAATAAATTATTTTTTAATGATTCAAAATTGTAAGCCAATTTCTTGGTAAATAATTCAAACAGTTTAGAAGGCTGATAGATAGAGTGAAAAGGAAAATCATCCCCCCACGCCCCAGGTGGTTTTTAAAAACAACCACTTCCTAGGTTTTCACTCCTTGCCCAGCAGCCTAAACAAGGCCCAGGCCTGGCCCCAAGTTGGCACATTCACCCCAAGCGCTCCTCAGAGACACCTGGCAGAGGCACGGCCAGCCAGTTGCACGGTCCCATGATCTCATAAGCACAACCTGGTGTCCTTCTTGTAAGACTTTACACATTTGTTTGTTTCCTATGGGGTTCTCCTTGGCCCCACCGCATAACTCTGGGTGCCCAAGGAAGTGGGCTCAAGACCCCAACAGCACCCAGCAACATTTGAGGGCCTACTCCTACTGCCTTGTCAGCAGGCGGCCTTGAATATGGACGGAAAAAGGGTGCATGAAGGCGGTCAACTCAATGTATCCATAGAAATGGAGGGGTGGGACCTTGAAGTCCCAGGTCCTCTCTTCCGGAAGACGCTGGGATGGAGATCCTGCCACCGGCCTGTCCGCTCATGTCAGGAGTTAAGCACTGTAGCAAGTGACTATTTCTTTTCTTGGTGACTATGAATCTGCAGACTGCTCCCAGCACTCGAATACGAATGTCCTGGGTCCCCAGTGCAGAGTTTCCTAATCTACATTTCCTAAGTGGGTTGAAGGGGCAAGATATTGATCACCTCAGCCTTTAGGTCAGATAAAGCTATCTCTTGGTTGACCCCAGAGCTTACAAATAGCACCATTTCTTCTCTCTGCCAGTTCGTGAAACGTGGGAAATTGCTCTAGGGCATGCTGATGATGAAGCCAGAGTTTGTGTTTTCAGGAGTCAAGCCAGCTGTCAACATCTCCCCGCTTTCCTAGCTTGGATTCTGTGTTCATCACAGCTTCTCTCAGAGGTTTTCTTCCAGGGCTGCAGGCACGTTGGCCAGCTATCAGGAGGATCCTCATCCTCCCGGAACTTATTTTCTTCTTGCACAATAACGGATATCTCTGGTTTGCATACATGTTTCGTGTATGTGTTTTGTAATAAAATATGCATAACATAAAATTTAGCATTTTAATCATTCTCAAGCCTGGCCCTGCTGTTCCTCTCAATCGCAGAGGAGGGTCAAGGGCTGGGCTGAAGTCGCAGTGCTATCAGGCTGTGCATATCATGGAAACTGGGGCAGTGGAGAGGGCTTGTGGAGGACACTCAAGTTCTACTTCAAGCAGGATTACTTATTCACAGGGCTGTAACATCCCTGGAAGTAGCTATTTCCAAGTAGTCTAAATGCCCCCTCCCCCGTCGTCCCTCTACAATTGCAAAAGAATCCAATAATCTAGTTAATTCAATTTTTTTTCCTTTCAGGACTTGGTGGTCAAGTTTAAAACTATAATTTAGTTGCATTTGTTATTCCCAGAAGACATCACAGAGAAGAACTTCATGTAGTGATAAAGCATCCTCTCAGGTGTGAAATAAGACAGAAGAGTTGCAAGACTGGAAGAGATGATAGAGTTAACTGAATTGCGTGACACCCCCAGAGACACGTCTGCTTATGGGGCAGGATGGCCCCGGTCTCTCTCAGTGTGGCCCCAGAGCAACAGCATCTGGGAGGGTGTTAGAAATGCAGAGTCTCAGGCCCTTCCCCAGAACTACTGAATCAGAATCAGCATTTTGACAAGATTGCCCTGTGCCCCGTGTGCCTGCTGAAGTGTTTGGCATAGCTTTGTATTATTTTTCATCTTTCCAAATAAATGCAGACTTGGCTCCCCATGTGGAAAGCCGTTTGCCCTGGATGTGGGAATTTCCTGTTTCCTTTTACCTCCTACTTGCTGTGGACACTATAGACATCATCATTTAGTTTAAGGGCAACTTCAGGGCCCTGCCTCGAACTCAAACAAACGAGATGCAAAAGCACTCAGGAGTAGTGTTGATAAATTTAGGGGAGGGAAAAAAGGCATCCAGTTAAATTTGCATTTCAGGTAAGCAATGAATACTTTTTTGGTATAAGTATGTCCCAAACGTTGAATGTATCTTGTGTTTTATCTGATAATACTACTCAGGAATCCAAGTCTTCGGCTGCCCTGACCATGCTCTTTAATCTCTTCCTGCTTTATGTTTGAGACCCTCATCTTCTTCCAGTGGTGGTGCCTTTGGTTCATGCTCTCTTCAAGTCCCATACCATAGTTGGCTTTTTCTCTTGCATTCTGAGTAAGAGGCACATGGTGAAAACAGCATAGACTTTGACATCAGAAAGACTTGGAATCTGGCCAGCTGGGTGAGTAAGCAAGTTTTATTTTTCAGAGCCTCTGTCTCTTATCTGTAAAATAAGGGTACTGGTTTTCTCAAAGCCATACAGATAGCCTGGCACAGAACACATTTGGTTGCCCAAACTCCCTGGCTACCCTTGGTTATCTCTTGATAACTGGATCCTTGGGCAGCCCTGGCAGGCACAACCTGGTTGTTTTTGCGTTCAAATTCTTGTCCAATATCAGCTCCAGACACCTGTACGTGAACAGCACTAATGATGCAAACCAAAGCTGTCCTTCCTGTTACTGTCTGGCCATGAACTCAGCTTGATCTAGGAAATTCCTGAGTTGCAAACTTAAAATGAGACCCTTTATTCAAGTTACGGCTAAGAAAAAATGTGGTAATTATATGGTGGTTATTTTTGCAACTACAGCAACATTTTATTTGAAAGGAAATAATGTTTAACCATCACCAAGGAACGAGTTTTCATTTTGGTGGTCTAAGTCACATTTCTAACTAAAACATGTTCAGGGTGCTGTAAATTCCATGCATTCCTTAAAGGGCATGTACTTTCCCCCACTTGGCTCCTTTTACCCACTACAGCAGACACCAGTAGAGGTTAGCAGAGGAAAAAAGGCACATTCTATTAAAATGATAGAACATAGAATTCTTCTGTAGTATTTTTTTTCTAAAAGGGGGAAAAAGCTGAAATTGATGTCTACATTTAATCTTTATTTTCACTAGGCTTATTATATAAGTTATCTGTGTTTTTGAATATTGTGGCAGATGACTTCCAGAGGGGATTTTGGAATCAGTCTTAATTCTAGAGGACTCTGATTCATTTTACAATAAAAGGGTATTAATTAATGAGTGGAGCCTTAAAAAGTAACTAAGAAGTAAGAAGGGACTGAACAGAAATTGATTACTTCGCTAATAAAGAAACAAAGGGGCAAAATGAAAAACTAATAAAAGTACTCCTTGACAGATGCAGGGTTGCAAACTCAAATAGCTGCCGGGGCATGTGGGCCGGGGAGTAAAGCGGGCCATCTTTGCTCAGGAAGTTTGTGTGAGTGACGGGCAGTGGGCAGGGCTCCAGACCCTTAACCAGATGACGGCCACCGCTCCGCTCTAGCCCACTGCTGGCATCGCTGAGCATCCCAATTGCCCTGTTTCCTCCTCTCCCCCTTTCTTGAATCTTTACAAAAGAAGCCAGATATCTGGATGTTTATGTGAAATCGCCCTGGTTTCAGTGTTGGCTTCAATGTTAAAAAAAATAATGGGGAAGTCGAACAGACTGGGATGGATATGTGCCTATGGAAGACCATTCGGAGCCTGTCTCTTATCTTCCTTTAAAATAGGGAGGTAGATTAATGTGTTCAAGAGCAGGCTCAAATTCCTAGTATCCTTTCTGGCTCTGACCTTGTGAAAACCGTTTAAACTTCCTAAGATTAAATAAGATGATGAATAAAGAAATTAATTAGAAAAAAAAGCCATTAGCATTGTCTC